TGGGCGGGGGCTGCCGTTTGGGGATGCGGTGGGGACCTGGCACCCAGACAGGGACCGGCCCCCTCACCTGAGCAGTGGGAAGCAGCTGCTTATCGGGAACCGGCGGAGAGGGGAGCTAATTTCAGAACTGCAAGGGGAGCTAATTCTGGAACCGGCTGCGGTGGGTGGAGGGCGGTGGGGGCAAAAGCTTGGGGGAAGTTGCACCCCTTTCCCACAGCGTGCGGGCTGAGCCCCTCCGCCGCAGCCTGGGGCCCGGCTGAGCTCGCACGCTGCAGCCCCTGCGCCCCGCCCCACCCTGCAGCCAGAGCACGATGCCCACGGGGCAGCCCCCGGGCAGGGGCGGCCAGGCTGGACCCCGGACCCGCTTGCACCATGGCCAAGCCCCAGGCGGAGCCCGCCGCGGCCCCGCCGAGCCCCCCGCAGGGTCCTGGCCCCCCAGGAGGGTCTGCCGGGGCTGCGCTTGCTCGCAGAGGCAGCTCTTCTCTACGGAGCCCCTCGGCCTCGCTGCACCCGTGGCCATGGTGGCTTCCTGTGGTCTGGAGCGCGCTCCCCTTGGTGCGCAGGCGACTGCAGGCGCTTCTCAGCTGCCTCTTCCTTTTCTCATGAGGCCGGGCTGGGGACAGGTCCCCGTCACCCTCGGCTGAGGGCTGCGCGGGCCCGAGCTGGCAGCTCGCGGGCTGGGGGCAGCCGGGCGCTGCAGGGGGTTGCAGTCATCGGGTGCTGCAGCGACGGCTCCCACCGGGGAGCACGCAGGGGCTGCAGCCCCACCGGGCTCTGCAGGCTGCGGGAGGGCAGATGGAGGATGTGAAACTGGGAGAGCTGTGCTGTGGCCCACAGCAACCTTCCTGCTGCAGGCAGCGGTCAGGGCTCCCAGGGAAGGAGAGCTGCTGCGCTCGCTGTTGCACCCGGAGCCTTGCAGCACATTCCTGACCAGCCTGGCACCGTGGGGGGCAGCCCCCCAGCCCCCCGGCTCGGATGCCTCCCACCAGAGAAGCCCGGTGTCCCTGGTGTAGCCCAGTGCAGGCAGGGAGGGGGCCTGCACTGCTTGGGAGGTGCCAGGACCTGCCGGAGGGATGCTGGGGGTGGGGAGAAGCAGCCCCTCAGCCCGGCTTGCAAAACACTTGCTAAGCTTGTGACTGCACTGCAAGCGTCTCTGGAGCCAGCAGAGCATGTGGATGCTTGGGCAGAAAATAAAACTATTCCTCAACTGGGCAGGCGGCAAATGGGGCATTAACCGGGCTTCTCCCACCCGGGGCGGGGATTTGCGTTGCTCAGCACAGAAACCTCCCGCGCTCGCTGGAGTGCTGCCTGGGGTCTGTGCCCGGGGCACCGTGGCAGGCCCTGGCCGTGCCGTGCCGTGCCGTGCCCTTGTGCTGCTCCTTGGCGTGACCAGCTGGGCATCGCTCAGCCACGGGAAGGCGAGTCGGCAAAACTCCCGTCTGACATGCTTTTTCCCCCAGCTTCCTCTAACAGCGGACTCGGCTCAGCTGTGTCCTGCGGGTGACCGTGACGTCCCTCTGGGGCTGGGGCCTCCCTGCCGGGCACAGGAGGGGGGGCTCAGCACAAACCACCAGGACGTGGCCGGGCTGAGCCGAGCCAAGCTGGGGGCTACGTGCGGTGGTGCTGGCAGGAGGCGGTGGTGGCTGCCCTTGCGATGCGGCTGCCAGGGCTGATCGGTCCCATCATGGCACCAGTGGAGCACTTTGAGGGGGGGAGCGCCTGGGGCTGCCACAGGGAGCGGGATACCAGCTGTGTGGGCGCAGGCTGACACCGAGGGCTGGGGCATGGCTCCATGGGTGCCCGTGCAGTGGCTGCTCTGTCCTGTGGCTTTTCACGGTTACGAGGGCCAGCCTCAGGGGTGGTGACGGGATGCCCCCCCTTCAGCAGGGCTGCACAGAGCCCTGGGGGGACCCCCGGGTACACCCCCAGTCCCTGCAGCCTCTCGGGGAAGCAGGGGCACGGAGAGGGGCTGGGGGACAGGCAGGACCGGGCACGGCCGAAGGGGCTTTGCTGGGTGAAACCCCTGCAGGGCCAGGGCTGAGTTCAGGTTCCGCAGGGGCTGTGGACCACAGCGGGGGCGAGGAAGAGCCCTGGGCTCCTGCAGGGCTGGATCCTGCCGGCGCCAGGCCCTGGTGCGAGGCAGCTGGGAGCGGGGCGGTGTGGCTGGGGGCTGCCCAGCTATGGCAGAGCTGCGTGCCGGTGTCGGCCTGGGTGCGGGGACTGGCAGGGAGGGGAGGAAGCGCAGGAAATCTCGCAATGGCTGTATGGTCAGCACCGGGTTTCCTGTTCCTCCCCAGGAGCCAGAGCTGCACTAGGTCCAGACTGCGCCGGCCCCGACCCTGGGAGGACGCCAGCGCCAGCCCCACGGCGGGGACCTCGCGGCATACGCAGGTTGGAGGGGCCGTGCCCAGCGGGGCGCCGGCAGGGACAGGGGACCCCTTGGCAGGGCTGGGGGGGATCTCAGTGGACCCCGCTGAGGGGTCGAGGGCTGTGCCAGGGGACGTCCTGCCCTGGACAGAGACGTGCCCCAGCACCCTCTTGCTCCTGCTGCACCCTTGCTGCGGGACAGGGCACCCTGGGGCCACGGCTGGGACCAGTTCGGCTCCCAACGGCCATGCTGGAGTCCTGGGAACTGGGACGCGTCCAGGCTTGGCACCTTCCTCTGGGGCTTGGGGCCCTGTCCCCCTCCTGCCGGCTCCCCACCGTGCCCTGGCGCCCGAGAGCTCGGCATGCCTGGCTGCCCCCACCGCGGCACAGGGGTGACCGTGCTGACGGGCAGGACAGGACTGGAGCTGCCAGACCGCGTGGGGCCGGTGCCCTGGCCAGGGCGGGGGGCACGGCTGCGCTGCCCTCGGGGAGCAGCCCCGTGTGCATGGCAGGGGTGACGCTGCTGGTGTTCACCCCACACTTCCTCCTCCCTGGCACCGTCCCCGCGGGCCCCCGCTGCCGCAGGGCTTGGGGCGCGCTCAGCCCTCCCGCCTGCTTTGAATGCGCTTTGCAAGGCAGATTGCCTGGGGCAGGGAGGACTCTGTGCCCCGCCGCCGCCCGACCGGGGCTCCATGTCCCGGTGATGGGACCATGGCGTGGGAGGGTGCGAGATGCAAAGGGCCCCGGCCACCGCCGAGGGCAGTGTGGGGCATGGGGCGGCAGCCGCAGCTCAGGCTCTGCTGCTGCTCTGCAGCCTCCTCCTGCCCAGGACGGCGGTGCCATGGGCTTCGGGCCGGAGCTGTGGTGCCCGCAGGGGCACAGCGCGCTGCTGCGGCTGCAGGACAGTGAGCTGCGCCTCCTGGAGCTGATGAAGAAATGGATGTCACAGCGCGCCAAGAGCGACCGGGAGTACGCGGGGATGCTGCACCACATGTTCTCCCAGCTGGAGAAGCAGG